AAAAGCTACAAAATGAAGTCATAATTCCATTTCAATTTTCTTAGTTTTTTCTGGTTTCTTTTTTTTTAGTTAATCAGAGAGCCATGATTACCAGATGAATAGCCAGTTGTAATTATGTCATGAGGTTGTGTGACTTTCTCTGTCAGAACTGGGGAGCAACAGAAGCCGGAATGGTGTGACTCAGTGAACACAAGCTCATGCTGACTTCAGCCCACATAAAAGAAAAGAAAATGAAAATGAAATGGATATCAGAGCTATCCTCTGCCGTCCCAGGAGACAGATTATGACAACACAGGAAGCTGAGCATGAAGAGTGAGCTGAGGGCCTGCTTAGTCTTTTTTTTTTTTTTTTCAGGGAAACAGACTTTTCCTCAGTTCTTGGTATTAACAGATGGCTGGAGGATGGCTTGCTTCAAAACATAGAGGCAAAGTCTTGTAATACCCTTAATTCCGAATTTGAAGATGTAAAGTTCTCGTGCCAAGTACATTTTAACAGAAATGGGATACATTTTGTTGAATTAATTAATAGACTGCACTTTAGGAAATCTAAGGTATATCAAGGTTCCTATATTTGACTACAATATACTTGTATGTACTATACTGTACCTTGAAAAAAATGTTGGTTATTAAAATCTTTACCAACAGTGTCTGAAACATTCATGCATTATGTCATATGTTAGAAATCTGACACAATCAAGTGTTAATATAATTGTAATTATGACAATTAAATTGACTGTACTTACATACTGTAATGGAGTGTTCAGAGTGACAATAATATCAAAATCCCCAGCCAAACTAGCTATATATATATTATATATATATAATTAGCTATATTAATAAACATGTGGTTTTCCAATATTCTTGCAGACTAGTGGAGAGTAGCTTCCTGTTATCTGGTAAACTGATATTTTAATGGAATTCCTATAAACCAAACAAAAAAGTTTGAACTCTTCAATAACCAAAGACAGGTTGATGCGCATTACATTATTATTTTTGGTGTCCCTTGCAAACTACACAGTTACTTTGGTATTTCTACATTTCTTCATGTATTTCAACTTTAAGAAGCTTCACTGACTGTAATTAAGACCAGGAGAGAAAAAAATGCAATTAAAATCATAGCATAAAACTAATCTTATCTTTTCTGCTATATTTTAAATGTAATAATTATACATTTGCCTAAAACATGAGGGGACTTAGGATGTATTCATTGTCCTCGCAATGAGTACTGTACATCCCAAGTCCCCTCATGTTTTATTTTTTGTTTTAGTTACCAGAAGGAAAACACTGCCTCTCAACTAGGATTTTCAAGGCTGATCTGCTATGATGCAATGTCTTTTATAAATAAGGAGATTAAAATTGTAAATCCTTTCATTAAGCACACTTACATTTTTTTTTCAAGGTCCAAGCTGGTTTTCTTTTTTGATTTCTGGACTGTCTCCAGTAAAACTTTATATAGTATTTGCTTTAGCTAATATAAATAAGGTTTTATATTTTTTTCATTAGCTCATTAGTTTTATACTTTATGTACTCTACAATTAGTAGGCATAGTTTATTTACATTTTATCGCTTTAAGTCTTAAAAAGTGTGTATCTGTAGGGTAGGTTAGGAACAAACACTTAAACAGTGGCTTCATCACACTGACATGTCAGACAAACTCAAACCCTTACATATCAACCAATCAGGCAACCTAAGACCGTCATAAGACCCCCATCAGAGAAAAGTTGCTAACTGAGCTCATAGGTTGATCTCTTGATACAGGTATTTTCCCCTGAGAGTTGCTCTGCATGCCTTAAATTTAATATACTTATTTCTTGCAGTCACAATATACTGTATAATGTTGTATCAAAATGAATAACTGAATGGCATACAATGCTAGTACTTTGTATGCCATGATCTGGTGTTGTTGCTCCACTGTACAGTTTTCTTGAGGTGCTCCCCATGAGGGAGTTCTGCTTATTGTCCCAGAACTTAAACTCCCCAGGCAGCAATCGCACTTTACGGAGAGTAAACTAAACTCAACAAAGAAAACCTAAAGTATAACCAGTGCTGACTTGTCTTTACTTCTTGAAACACTTTTGTATTAGAACCTCAATCCTACTTTTAGAAACATGACCCAGTAAAAAGCAACTATGATTTAAATCACAATTACTCACATAACCTTAATGCAAGTAACTTATCTCTGCATAAGATGTGTAAAATGGTGAAAGCCACCATATAGAGTGGGCAGGGTAAATGAAACATCTGTATTGAATCCATACTAGTCTTAAGCAGCCATTTTCAAGGTCACAGGAACTGTTTCTTAGACCTTCAGGGCGGCTATTTTTTCCAGTGATCTAAATATGAGCATGATGAGCTTGGCAGTATAATTAATTGCAATAATTACACACAAGGTAACCGGGGAAAAGACCACCATTTAGGCAGAAACCATAATTAATGCCATCAAGGAATACTACCAAAAAAGGGGCTCTAATCAATTTTGTGGATTTTCTGCTGAGCTAATAATATTAACCCACTAAGTGTGGTTTCAGGATTACATTTGACTAGTTGTGAGGGATGATATATATTTCTTCTTTACATCATACATTGTCATGGATACTTATTGATTCTGAGTTTTACAATTAATTATTTTAACTAATTTATAGCAATTACACTAAAAACACCTTGCCTCTCATCCTTTGCCCTTTTTCATGTTCATTCCTTTATGTAATTCTTTTTTAAAAGTGACAAAATCTGAAAATCCAGAAAAAACATGAGTACATATTTTTGTGTCAAAGTAGACTGCAATATGACAAGCAGTTAGAAATGTTCTATTTTGATGGCAACTGTCGGTCAATCTATAGTAAAATTCTGACAGAACCAGCATGTTCTGAAGTTTAACATACACCCAAACACCCAAAAAGGCTTCTTGTCTGAATTGGGAGTTTTTCATCTGTGGCTTTAAAAGTATAATTGCTTTCTGCTGATAGGATCCATGTATTTCAATTATAAAATTGGTCAAACCTGATATTATCTTATGCTTATTTTGTCAGCTGGTTACCACACCCATGATGTGCTAAAGTAATGAGAAATTCATGGTTTTGCAATTGAATGGCATGACACCTAATTGGATTTTAATGGACAAAAGTGAAATGTTTAATTAAAAGATCATAAACAGGACTGTTTTGAACAGAGTGATAAATGTATGAAAATGCTATGTCTAGGCTATAAGACTATTGACTACAATATGCCTCAAGATATTTTTTTTACATTTGCTAATAAACACAAATATAAATTTAAATTATTATTAAAGTTATATTTAATATTATATATATTAAATTCATACTTCACAATAACACATCAAATGCCCACCAAAGCTCTTGCTGCATACTCTTTACTAAAGAAATACTTACCTACTGCACTCATTTCTAAATCCGCTATCCATGACAAAAATATTTGAATGAGAAAAATAGTCAGCAGAATTCATACTGTACAGTACGTATGTAAAACTGAATCAGCCGCAGAGAGTTCATTTAGTGTCAGCAAGGCAGATGGCATAATGAATCTCGAGACCCAGGGGAGAAGATTATTCTGACATTTACCGGTGACAGTTTTGATAGTGACACAGGTGGCGCACAAAACCGCCCAAAGAACTTGTCTGGAACCAGCTGGAAGAGAAGGGGCCAGCAGATCATACAGCCCTAGAACCGGAAAATCCCTGGCCCAGCAGAAAGCCTGCAATGCCACACATCTCCACAAAGACACTACTGCACGTCGGTACAACATTTGCCCATGTTCTCCAAGGCCAGCTCTGTTTTTTCTATTGGACATTTTAATAATAAGACAGCTTCTTGAAGATTCCTAAACCAGTCATATACAGTACAGCAGTTTAAGGGGTTTGCAAAATACACTAGTTAATGCACATTTCTCAGACGCGCAATAACCCTTCAAAATGTTATTGTTTTTCTCTGTATAGATGTTTTCCTATGAACAAGGAAATGTTGTCTAAAACCCCCACACAAACCACAAAAGCCTCGGTAACTCCAAAGGCCTCCCTTTGGGAAAAGTGAATTGCCAAAGCATCCTCTTATGAGTATCCAAGAGCATTAAAGAAAAGGAAGGCCTCGTCCAATTATATAGCACAAACATCAGTACCGGTATTTATAATGTGCCTATATTCTTTGAATGTACTTTACAAAAATAACTGAGCAATGTTTAACATAAATGTAACAGATTATTTCACTCTTTTGTGCTAACACTACATTTTACTACAGGCTGTAGCATCTAAGCACCTAACAGGCACATTCCAAAAACTGCCCTTGAACTATATCACATAGAAATATTTCTGCTTTAATGACTTTCAGGCAATCATGAGAAGACTTGCTTTTGTCATTTTTGAAACAGATGGCAAAATGGGTGATTCCAATTACTGCTATATGGGACCTTCTCTTCCACAGAACAGGGTGGAATATAGGACACATCCCATGTTGACTTTGTTTTAAGTGCATTTTGATTAACTTCTAAGACCTTTGGTTGCTTCTATTTTAAAGCATTATGCTTTAGGGGCTCTGCTAATTTGGAATATATACATATTGACTTGATAATATGATTCTTACATAGTGTAGTCTAATGCACAACTTCATTTATAATATATCAAGGGATACTAGTTAAAATTAGCTATTTTTTTTCTCTCACTCATGCCATTAGGTGTTTAAAATCACAATTCTTCATTGAGAGAAATAATTAAATACTCCTCCATGGATCAGTTAATATCAGGTTAATAGGTCATGTTTGAGGGTGTGTATTGAACCATTACAGTCTAGTGAAACGTTCTCAGCGTCTCTTGAGAAAAATATGAAAATAAAATTGACATCAGTTTCCTTCAAAGCACTACTGCTGCTATGCTGTATTGGCAGAGTGGGTTGAACTAAATCAAGCAAACGACAGAATGAAATGATTTTTTTCTGAAACCTAGCATCATAGGCAACAGTAGCCGATAAAGAAAAAGAAACGTTTTCCACCTACCAGGATCTTAGTGGTGTAAGCGCTGTTGATAGCAATGGCATTGACTAGAATATCCAATGTTTTAGAAGGCAGGGAATCAGGGTCTGGGACTTCTTTGTAGTGGACATCTCCAATGTAGGCTTGGACAACGGTCATCCTATTCGTCGTGAGAGTCCCCGTCTTGTCAGAGCAGATTGCTGTCGCGTTACCCATCGTCTCACACGCGTCCAAGTGTCGCACCAAGTTGTTATCCTTCATCATTTTCTGTTAAAAAAATTAAATTAATATCGCTTAAACTTTCTTTAGTGCTTATTGTCTAACTGCATGTAGTATTTTCACATCCATTTGACATATACAGTGCACCATATTATAAGAAAACAATCGCATTATTTATAAAACAAAGATAAACTTTATCATATCATTTCTACATGAAGTTCTTGTTGGTAAAGTAAAAATATGCTTTGTGTTCGTTTCCTACATAATTTTGAATTTGTGAGTTTGTTTTCTTAAATAGTAAAGAAGAGCAAAACTTATTTTTGAAAAGATTCATAGATTGCTTGACGTGATTAAACCACTCTCCTTTGATTTCTGTGGCACTGTAAAGGCAGCGATGGGTCTATGGCATTTTTTATACTGGGTATGTTGTTGATGTTTCCTTTAATTGTGTATACAACAGAAAACACGAGGCAAAATACCTTCACAGAGTAGGCCAGTGAGATTGTGACAGCCAAAGGAAGACCTTCAGGGACAGCAACTACTAGGACTGTGACCCCAATGATGAAAAACTTGACAAAGTACTGGATGTATACTGGAGTACATTCAGGCAGCCACTGTCTCTTCTGCATTACAAAGTTCTCGATGGCAAAGTACAGCACTAGAATGATGACCGTTATAGCTGACATCACCAGACCTGCAATCCACCAAAAAATGTTAAAAATGTTAAATGACCATACTGTATAACAGTATATATAGGTGTAGTTCACACAAACGCAGGCTAGTACCAGGGCTATAGATTGTTAATGTAATCTTTTAGGTGAACATTTTAAGGCCACAGTTATTAAATTGCAGGAACATTCTTAGAAAGAGACACTTTATAACAATCTACCTTAAGGTACATTGAGTTTAGTATAGATTTACAGTGCCTTTTAATTTCTGTTTTCCAGTGTCTGGCTTTTCTGGTTCTGTTTAAAATACTGTTGCACATATGAGGTGGCTCTGAAAGATGTTCACGGAAGAAGGTCTTAGAGTCAACTATTCTGGAGAAGAACAAAAAACCTTTCTCTTATAAATGTGTAAGTATGGCCATTCTGCAATGGGTTAAGGAATCAGTCACTGTTATTTACAGTAACCTGATAAAGTACCCATACTAGAAGCAAGTCAATAATAGATGCATGCAGATCCATTCTCACAGCTTATTTTCTAACCCTGGAGTTTTATGATAGATGGATTTTGTACAAGGAACATTATATCGATTAACATCTTTCGTCACATCTTTGTAGAATCAGTTAACTCTTGGTTACAGTCTTTTGCTGAAATGCTAAATGGAAATAAATGTATTGGTCTAAAAATAATGAAAAACACAACAGAAAAGCAAAAAGAAGAAAAAACAACACAACACACAGAAAAAAAAGGGTGGGGGAGTATATATCGTTCGATTTTCCACATTTTGCTTTTTTAAAATTTCCTTTTAATTGTATTATCAGGCTTTTTTCAGTCTTCATGCATAATACATTGTCAAGATTAATTAATACAATTGAGGTGCTTTTCCCACGTTAGGATGGATTTATAAACGTTATCAATTAATCAGTATGACAGCTTCTCATAATAAATTTCCCACTGATTTTTATGAAGCTTGAAAAAGTTTGGGATCCTTATAAGCCTGTTGTACAAACTTAGCTAATTAAAAATGGTGTACCATCAAGAAGAAAGCTACTGTACCGTTTTGTAAGAAACACTGGGGGCAGGCCATTCAAATGTGTATACTCTAGGGAACACATCTTTAACAATGTGTAGAAAACACCTCCAAATACAGTAGCACGTTCTAAGTTCATCTCGCACAGTGTAAATGTATTATGTAATGAGGCTGCAATATTAAGTCTGAACATCTCACATAACCAAATTGCACTCCTCCAGGAACCTTGTAAAAGCCTCACTGAAACAATTTTGTCTAACATAACCAAACTACATCCTTCAAACAACATTCAGAAATTTTGTTACAACATTTGATTTTTTTGAGAACCCTGTGCTTTTGGAAGCAATTAATTCGAATTTACCTGCTTTCCCAATCTGTACTGCTAACTTAGTCAATTTGCCCTGAAGGACAGATTTCTCTTTCTTGGGCATGCTGGCTTTTTTCTTTTCCTTGTCATCAGCATCTCCACCTTCGGCACTCTTTAAAGGTTGCATTTCCATAGCTGCTGCGCCATCCTGCTTCTTAGCTAAAACAAAATGCACAGCATTGAATGTACTATATGAATTTTGCTGTAAAGGAAAGGGTGAGGAAAAGGATCTGGATTATACAAAGGCTGGATTCCAGAAACCTAAGAAAAGATAGCATTATTGACATTTTTTGTTTGTTGTTGAACTCAGTTTGTAGTAAGCCTTCCACCCTTTGTGAATCAAATGTTCCACATGTCCATAAACACATGTATGCAATCTTTGTGTGGACATTTTCTCACTTAAACTCCTTTTAAACAGCTTTTCATGGGGGCATTTGAACAAAAGCGGTAAGCAAGTGCGCAGTCACTGCAACACATGCCATTCAAACATCACTGGTCCCACAGCTCAAGCACATTTCCTCAAGCTTTAAATATTAAAGAATATTAAATGAGGAAGAAAATGTGTCTGAAACCCCTAAACGTTTCACTTTCAATGATATAATGTTTATTTCCGTATAGGAGACATATCAAAAAGAGTACAGTACCCAGCAGCCATATCACCTTGCAACTCACAACTGGCATCTCACTTAAACTTAGCAGGTGTGAGCCTGGTCAGTATCTGGAGGGGAGACCTCCTGGGAAAAACTAAGGTTGCTGCTGGAAGAGGTGTTAGTGGGAAAAGCAGGGGGCGCTCACCCTGCGGTCTATGTGGGTCCTAATGCCCCAGTATAGTGATGGTGACACTATACTGTAAAATGGTGCCGTCCATTTCGGATGAGACGTAAAACCAAGATCCTGACTCCCTGTGGTCGTTTCTCAAAAGGAGAAGGAATTGTAACCCCAGAGTCCTGGCCAAATTTCCCATTGGTCCTTACCAATCATGGCCTTCTAATAATCCCCATCTATGAAATGGCTTTATTACTCTGATCTCCTCCCCACCGATAGCTGATGTGTGGTGAGTATTCTGGTATGCTATGGCTGCCATCACATCATCCAGGTGGGGCTGCACATTGGTGTTGGTGGAGGGGAGTCCCCATTACCTGCAAAGCGCTTTGAGTGGAGTGTCCAGAAAAGCGCTATATAAGTGTAAGCAATTATTATTATCACATGGACCGTATTGTAGTAATTTTATGCTCATAGGTTCTTGGGATAACGGATTGACACTTCAAAACCTGAACCTGTGATACACAGAAATGTCATTAACAACACTAATTACAGCAGTAACCTCAAGGTTTTCCACTCTCCTGTGTTGGAAAGACAATTTACATTCCAGAACTAAATGCATTGTATGCCAAGCAAGAACATACAGTAACACAGCTGAGTTTACAAATAAGGTAAAAAGGAAGTCTCAAACTAAACTACTACTGTAAAATGCAGTGAAAAGAAAGAGATGCCACAAATGAACGTGTGTTTGTATATCTCACAACACCTCTGAAAACATAAAGCCATATATTTATTTTCATAATAATACCATTTCCAATACAAGAATAAAATACAAAGTTCAAAGAAATAAATTGAGACATTCACCAGTCACCCGTGGTGCACACAATATTACAATAATATTACCGGCAAACTTTCTAAGATACCAGAATTATTCATCATTAATTAATTCGTTTCCAGATACTAAAACTGAAAAGCACATGCACATAAATAGTTCATACTAACATCATAAAACAAAAAATACTTATTTTGAATGAAAGAGTAAAAAATATCAGGAAAAAAGCAATACTGTATATCTGGAAAATCACATGGAAAGCAACTGGAAGGCTACTTGAAACCACTGTAAACGAAGGCGGTCAAGATCAAGCAGTGGGCTCATGTTTTAACTGTGGAAAAAGCAAGTTAAAACAAACGGAAATAGAAAGCAGGTTACCTTTGCTCTGGTTGTTCTCCATATTTCCATCCTGTATTTTACCTATGATGAAGACATACAACACACAACAAAAAATAACAAAAGCAGACAATAAAACATTTATCACAAAGACATTACAGTGAAATTAAATAAAGAAGGAAGACACAGAAAATGAATATTTATTTTACATCTCCATGACAGCAACATACACAAGATGCTCCATCATAAATGAGATTTATGCTAAGCTTTTGCTTGTCCTGCGGTTAATCACTAGATTTGTCCAGTGAGTCACTATTTCCAGTCCTGTGCTAACAGAGTCCTGCATATTTAATGGATGACCAAGGAAAAAAATACTCCTAATGCGGTGTATATCAGCTTAGAAGTAACATGAATAGGAAAACTGCTGTGTTACTGGATATCGTTCTGTAAAATTAGATAAGTCGCTTGTTTCAAGCAAATTCACTTTTGTTCTATTATTAATGCTTGGTGTCTGGATTTAAATATTTTTCTGCAGTCATCATCTGTTAAAAACTCTGGGAACAGATGTTTTTTGGCAAAGGAAAATAATAACTTGAAGAAAATGACTCTATAAAATACTGAACCGTTTTTGTGATACACAGCACACTCAAATACAGTAATTACTGTATGTGTTTATGAATATGTATATACTGTACAAATGTTTTGAACCGGTTTGTAGAACAAAATATGAAGTAAAGGTAAGTCTACTAGTTCTATATTTATCACATGCTAGTGAAGAGAACATGAAAATGAATACTTTACATTCAACTGAAACCTAAGAAAAACCTCTGTGGTTTGGCACGATAAATAGTTTGATGGCTTCCTTTCCTGAAATAATAACCAACTCCATAGTATACTGTATGTATTTGGGTTTCAGCAACTATAACAACATTTTTTCCTAATTTGGCATCTGGAGTTATTAACCTAAAAGAATACTGAACAGCATTCAATATTTTTATACCAAAAGTGGTAAAGAAGATCTAATTGTTTTGTTTTCAATATTTTAATTTTAGATGGAGTTTCCTATTTTCGTCTCTATTCTTTGGCTCAAATTTACAGTGTATTAAATGAGTGTATGAATGGTTTTAGATGCTACTGTAAAGTGTAGTAATTTATCCATCAGATGTGGATAAAGATTTTGACATATTTCATTTATTGTGTGAGTAGTATTGTATTAAATAAAATATACCCTCCAACCGGAAATAAATTTCAGTTTTGGAACACAATAATTTTTTAATAACAATCAATTACTTAATTACTGAATTGCAATGAATTACTCTGCATTTAGGATTTGGCATGAGCCTTACGTAAACACTTCCTTGTAACAGGTATTATGTAGACCTTATTTGGTGATGAAAGACTGGTTTCAGCAACAGACAGTACTCACGTCAACAATTAGATGAAATTCCAAATATTAATTATGCAAAGGAATTCATTAAGACCTAGTACAGGGCATTAAAAACACAGTGTTCACATATTAAACACGCACATGAGTGGGAAGGCAACACAGGCACAACACAATACACAGCATGCATTACAGATGTGTTAAAAGGAAGAGCACATGCTTCAGCACAAAAGAAACAAGGAAAAACAGTAACAAACACGGGACATTTTTTAGAAGAAAAGCAAGGGGTCGTAAATGACAAACAGTCCTGACCGTCCCCCTAAACATTTAGCACCTCTCCATAATGTTATGTATTTTGTTTTTGCCTAATCCCTTGTATGGACTGCTGCGTTCACTGTACAAGTTGTAAAATCACAGCTAAGACCTTGTGCTTAGGAAATTACACTCATTTCCATTGCTACTGAGATTAAGAACTGATCCTGCTACAGAAACATGCTGTCATCCCAAGGAGACATAGCTCAGTTCCAGTCTGATTAGTGTTTTTAAGATAGAAATGCAAGATGTCACAAAGCAGAGGAACCAAATGCTAATGTAATCTTTTCTTATTACCTTACCAATAATCATAATGTTTGATTGTACACCAGCTACTTGTTTCTCAGCACAGCTCAATAGCAAATATTGATCAGTCTGTGTGTCTAAGAGTGTGTATTGCATTTAAAAAAGTGGAAGAAAGCAGTACTTAAACATCAATTTTCCTTACTACATTTTCACATCTTACTCTCAATGAAATAAAAATGCTTGGATTTTAGAAATTTCTTAAATATTCTTAAATATTGTAAACAAAATAATTACCTGCTTACTGTACTTTTCAAATAAGTACAAGCAAGCGTTGCATATGCATATGCTATTTTACTTGCTTAAAGAATTAATTTCCCACATGATTCTGTGCAACATGTAAATTACATTTATCAGTTATTAAAGTTTGAAATATCAAGTTTAAATTTAATTACACATTAATGTCTTTGTCTTTATTTGTGAATTTATCTTTGTACCTTATACTTCTTAAACACCCTGAAGAAATGACAGTCACACGTCAAAGCTGAGCCTCACAACCTCCAGATTACCTGGGGTTAACTGCAATTCTAGTGGAGATTTAAGGATGATAATTCAGAGTCTGTAAGAAACATGCTGGAATTTTAAATTATTTGAAAATGGCAAAATGAACACAATTTGGACAAAATATAAATCCTGGGGGGAAATGGTGATGGTTTTAAAATTGGGGGATATGTTATCCCTTTGAGATTATACTAATTAAAGGCTAATAAATTCCATTTAATGTATTTTGCATTCTCTCAGTTCCAGTAAAAATTATATTAATCCCATTATAGCTTTTATTGAAAGTTCCCTGCGAAAACATGTGGCAGTTCTGACTCTATATACTGTAATCAAGCCTTTTCAAGGGGAAAAACTGGGAGATGGGGGTGTGAGTGTTAAAGGTAGGAAGAGAGAATGCATAGTATGCCAACATGCTAGTAACATGTTCTACTTGATAATAAAGTACACATGCTGAAGGAATTGCCACAATATCTAAAAATTTCTGATCACAATATTTAACATTTGAAGTGTGCAGTAAAGCAAAAGGATCCATTTGACTTCGGTTAACTGCTTGAAAAAATGCTCGGTTTTGTAGATTAGTCAGATACAGTTCTACAGTAAGTGGTTTAGAGCTATTCATACTAGCACACCACCATCCATACGCTAATACAATAGCTCCATTCTGGATAAATCTCTAACTGTATCTAAACTGACTTGTGTTTAACATATTGTATATACAGTAGTGTTCTGTGTTTGTGGGCTCAGCTACAACACATTTGTCTGGTCTATCAGGCTGGCCATAATTAAAGTACAGTGAGCCAGATGAAAAAGTTTCAACTTGTTTCTACCACACAGAGCACCTTATTCACTAAAAACAACATAACAGAAAGGGAAGTATAACCCCTAGGGAAAAATAATCATAAAGGGAATAAGGGCTGCAACAACAATATAGGGTCCCTAAAGCAATTATAAAGAGGCTACTCCCCTGGCTACAATGCACTCTAGAAGATTAATATTCTTTGAAGATCAGTTACAAAATGCAATCACAGGCTGTGTGACCCAGAGTTTAATACCAACCCTGTATGCAATTATTCACCTGTATTCACCTGGAAACCGGGGCTGTATTCCTAAACTCCTCATAGGATCCTTTTGTTAAATATTGCTTGTACTACTTATTGTGGCATTCCTATTTGGAATTATGCACTTCTACATTGTAATGGAAAATAAAGGATTGTTTTTACAGGTTGGTGACATGCATTTAGCACAGCACTACAGTCAGCAGAAGAGAAGGCTCAAAACAGCTGGAGAAAAAGGATATCCATCAGACAGAAGCAAGTTCTGTGTTCTCCACATACCATTGACTAAGTTGGTATTACCAGAGGCATTTGCACCAGCAGCACCATCTGTAGCTATTGTTGAGATGGGGTGGGAAGAGGGATGGGAGCAATCTAGCAATAATAATGGATAAAAAAGGATAACAGTGAACAAAAATAACATGATTTAGAAAATACCTTATTTACTGAGATTGGTACTGCACTTTTTTAAACTACTGTATATGGAACTAAGGTAACGAAATGTGTCAAGCATCACATTCACGGTACAACATACAGTAATACACATCACATATAGTATGGAATGACAAAAAAACACGCACAACCACCAACGACACAATACACAAGGACAGACCGATTTCACTTGCACTTGTATGTTATCTCAGTTTTTCCTGCTGCTAACTAAGTAAACAGTCGATTGATTTCTCTTCTTTTCTGGGAATAGTAATTCAAGAAGCACAAAGCATTTGCAGTTTTGTACATGCAAAACATTAATCTGTGTTGCACTTTTCATGGAATGCCAAAAAGTACTAGAAGAAAACAAGGAGAAATGACTAATCATTGATTTCAGATAAGGCAGCATGAATCAACACTCCATAGCACATACTTAAAGTGTGAATATTACCTTCATCACACATTGCTAGAGAACAAACACATCAATAATAACAGTAACATTCTTCCAGAAAGATTTCAAGGAAAACACAAATCATTCTACCATTATTTGTCATTCCTGATTATGTAATGCAGTGTATGTGTTAAACATTTTCCATAATGTAGGAACTTGTACACTGTAAAACAGATTTCTTTTAGTTCATCTTGTCTCCACAGATCAACCATCATCATTTCCATCACTTCCAGAAGAGGCCAGTATCCCTACAAACTTTTGAGGTGATAGAGCAGAACCTACTCTAGGTAAGGTCTCACTCACCTAGTGAGATTCATACAGATTCCTAACTTACAGTATATTGCATGCAAGCTCATGAGTGTGACATTTTTATCTTTAGCATAAGGAAACATTACTTCCATTGTTTGATGAAACTGCAACTGGCCAAAAAGAGAACAAGATGTGTTGTGGTAATGAGAATCCACTGTACAAATCATTCCCATACATAAAAATGTAATGCAAACCCTGTATAACAGTGCAACTAGCCTCTGAACCATGGAAGGCCAGCAAAATCTTTCTATGAAGGAAATAATCTAAAATTAAATTAAATTTCCAATGAATTATTCTATAAGTTATTCAGTAAGTATATATTGATATATATTTACTGGGAACACTAGCCTCTTAGATTATAGTAGTGTTTAATGGACAAGTACCATGCATAGAAACTGATTGAACAAAAGGATTAGATCAACCTCAGAATCGGCATAGTCAATGCAGAAACATGGATGAAATGTTTTATTTTTTCCACACTTAAAAAGATGATTTTTGCACAGCTCTCCTTTTTAAGTCAAGAATCACCATGGCCTAATCCTGAATTGAACAGAAAGGGTGGGAAGGTGTTGGGGGTGTTGGTTTAGTGGGGTGCTGTGGGTTGAGGAAAAGCAGTTCAAGCCACCTGCAACTTTAGTGTTAGGTCTATAGCTGGGGTGGATGATACAGTACATGGAAATTGGAAATACTGTACCTGGTAGCTGCTCTCCATCTTCCACTCTCTCACCTGTGTTATAATTTTCAGAATGATAAGACAGTAAGGTTTGCACACACAGATGTCATGTGAGATTTTAACACTTTTTACCCAGAGAACCACATTTGGATAGATACTGTAGGTGGGAGTATTTCTATATGTCAGGAATTCTGACATATTCTGTCAGAAATCTGACTATAAAAATTTCACTGATAAAATTCAATTTGCAAATTATACTTTTGGAGCAATAGTAATATTAAAATAGATGCTGGATATAAGCTATAGAAAAGCATCACATCACAATGAGAAGCAGCTTAACAGTAAGATTGCAAATGTAATTATGCTGGTGGAACATTAGACGAGACTCCTGTGGGTTCAAAGAAACAGTTATGAAACATGCAAATGCCTTAAAACACTTCCATTTCAAGCACAATTTGGCTACCTTACGCATACAGAAGCTGTCTTTCATTTGTCCATAATCCCACAGAAAAAGAATGACAACTGCATTACTGTCATAAAGATGCAATGATTGAAACCAATATTTGGTGCATTTAATTTAAAGTGATTATATGTACGTCTTATAGAAAGAAACATGTTGGATCACCTGACCAATATTGTAAAGTTCGCAAGTTTCAGTTTTTGTGATATTCTTCAATTCTCATTTATTTCACTTCTAGTTGCTTTTTTTTACTGCTATGCCTTTGCCTTTGCAAAGCAAAAAAAAAATCCCATACAGTACTACTGATATCAAACCTAGAAAGAACATTATACAGTGTATTGTAAGTACTGATATACTGTTTAAATATTTGGTTTACATATTTTTCAGTTTTTATTTCTATGGGTACCCCAGAAATGGTCCACAGTACACACAAAGGTAAAGTCTTCGCTGTTATTCCACTTTTGTCTTAACTGACACATTTCTGATGTACTGTACAGTAGTCAGTGAAGGAAACCCCAAAGCCCCAGACGCTGGCCTTAAATTAAGATGACAATCTGTTGAGACTGTACCTTTCTTCTCCTTTTTCTCTTCCTCCTCACCACCAGCCCCAAGCAGGGTGAAGATGATCCCGGTCTGAGAATTAACTCCCACAGCTGTGACCAACATTCTCCCTGATCCTTCCATGACATGGGTACCTGGGACAAACACCACATGTTTTGGGTCATTAGGAGCTGAAATAGCACACATTTCTATTTGCCATGCAGCTAAACTACTTTTCCAAAGCTCTAATCATGTGTTGTTTTAACCCTTCCAGATCTCCCCAACATACAGTATCAGTTATGTCCTGGCAGTGATGCGGCATCCATTTTGTGTTTCACTGTCAAATCAGTCTCCCTTCGTCGGTTACCGGTGGAAATGAATCGTCTTTGGACTTGGAGCACCTGAAGTTGGATTACATCCACTTCCATTCCAAGTGTTTTTTAACATAAATACTCGGACCTGGCAGAGGTACGGGGCTCTGTCACTGAGTTTCTTCTCTGAGCCCTCCAGGTACTGTTTTCTTTGTTTTCCCGGGGCTTGTTATTGTCTCTCTAGTGATGCCGTTCTAGGATTCCTCACCTCACCTGGCCTTGTCTACAGTGTCTTTTTCACCTCTGGCTACCGTGTGTTTCTCGGCTCTGACCCCAGCTCCTGTCCGCAGCGTGTCTCTCGGATTCCGGATGGCTTGTTACCTCAAAGTGTCGGCTCGGCTTAGGATTTGAACTTTAACTTGGATTTTGACCTTGGAATCGCCCCTTCGCTATAGATTGAGCTTTTCTGTGACTCCAGAGTGTGCTCTCCTCCCCACTCAGCCCGGTTCACTTCAGTCCTATGCAGTTCCCTGCAGGATGCTTGTAGGTTCCCAAACACAGTTCTTGTCCAGCACTTGGGTTCTCATACATTCCAGGATCACATTACTAGTCCCATCGCAATAGCACAACATTACAGATATAATATTGAACAGTACAATGATGGTGGATGGATGTTTTTTATAGATAATACAGATAATACAGTATCTCCGCTGTGAGCAGAGAAGAAAAATATAAACTCACTATGGCATTTTTGTATAAACCAGTCTCGAGCATCATGAAATTAACATATGAACATTTCAATGTTCCAGATGAACTTAAACTTGTATATAACTTTTCTATTACTCATTTCCTATTTAATCCACTAGGAATGTCTGGGTGAAGTGAAAGGTAATTTAATTGGACGGCAAAGTCTGCCATCCGAGACGTTTTTCAGCAACACTGTTAAACTTTGAGCCTCTGTAGTTGGCAGACTGACTCTCGGTCTTCTTGACCTCCTTAGTTCTCCACTAGCTTCTTTGATTAAATCAGATGGGTATAATATCCCATCTATCTCAAGCTAATTAATTCCTATGGCATTTCTGCCTTTATTTTGATAACATCTGCAGTACAAAGGCTCTTTCTAAATGTGATGATATTCACCTTCTTTGCCCTTTTTTAAAGAAAAGCACTGTACAGCAAGACATACAAGCTTTTTTACAACCTCAGGAATGATTTAAAACACCCAGCTAAGGTACAACATATATCAACACTCCATCAATATAATTCCAATGGCTTAAAAAGTGTAATGTCAATAATTATCACAATTTTAATATAAATTAAACTTGGAATCACTATTTATTTTCTTATCTTCTATTGCTCGATTTGAAATGTGCAATTGTTTAAAGATTAGGCTCTCTGGTAGTGACTCCTGTACCCACTTGGGAAAGACAGGGACTTGTGGATATGCTCTTGATGAAAGCTCAATTTTAGAGCTATGCATCACTCGACAACCTGCAAGTACCAAACTTACAGGAGGCTCAGTGCTGACTGGAGGACTGTTGCATCTATCACTGACATCACTGCAAGCACTCAACAAGTTACAGGAGTGGCCATTTGCCAACTGAGTGAAACTTGCTACTTTTCTAAACTGAGTGAGCTCTAATCAAATAATACCAGGTCCATTCCAGCAATGCTATGCTAATTTTGCAATGATGTTTGAGAATTCAGTTTTTGAACATGCAAAAGACTTTGAATATTTATTAGAATACCGTGTAAAACTATGAAGAACAATAGGAGAGTTACTAAAAGAATCTAACTGAAATCACGTACTTTTCTCAAAGATGCGTCTATATATAATTAATGGATACACATATAATTTTCACTCACAAATTAAGTCTGAAGGGGGCTCAATCCAAATCACACAGCTAAGAAAACTCTTTTCATTAATATTCAATTCATAATTAAGAGCCCTTTTCATCATGACTCAGTGGCTCAACAACCAACAGATTTCAAATTAATTCAAGACACAGGGTTACTCAATCGGGTTATTTTCGCTAACACATAGCAACAACCAACTAGGGAGCAGCTGTGGACTGTTGCTGAAGATATTCATATTTGAATCATATAATCATCAACAACCTCTGAAAAATCAACAAATGCCCTAACCTATAAACTCTCATTGAAAGTTGTGGCTTGTGGTTTAACATATTACTGTATGTTGGAACTTACTGAAGCACTTTTAGTAATATGAAAGGCCTCTCCATAATCATCGAGGCTACCAAATAAATACTGTATACTGTGGTACATAATGAATCATGTGATACACACTAACCTGAAAGAAGCATGGGATCTTTGTCGGCTGATTTTCGTACATGGTCTGATTCTCCAGTTAAAGAACTTTCATCTATCTTCAGATCATTCCCCTGTATCAAAATTCCATCAGCTGGAAGCAGGTCACCTTAAACATAAACCAAAAAAAAACAGCTGTCTTGCACTTGTAATACATTTGGCATCTATTTCAGCAGTACTGTAGTTAAAAGCTTAATAAATATGATAAATTATTATATCCTTCCATCCATTTTCTAGCTGCTTCATCACATTCAAGGCTGTAGAGGAGCTGGAGCCTATCCCAGCATGCAAAAGGTGTAAGGCAAGATACATTCTGGGCAGGACACCAGTCCATAACGGCACAAACAGTCCCGCATGCACTCACACCAGGTTCAATTTTCCCTGACGTCAATGAATCTACAGTACCATTATGCCTTTGGGCTGTG